TCTCTCTCTCTCTCTCTCTCTCTCTCTCTCTCTCTCTCTCTCTCTCTCTGTTCCTAACTCTCTTTATATATGTATGTATGTATGTATGTATGTATGTATGTATGTATGTATACATGCATATACATGCAACCCACATGCAACCCCAACCCCCATGAACAAAAGAAGGAACAAACAAGCAGTCCAGCCTCCGGCGCATAGTCCACGAAGTAGTTTCCATCAGCATCAGTTGGTGGCGCCCAGCGGCCGGAAACCTCAGATCAGGGGTTCCAGTTTCAGCTGCAGCCTAAGCTCAACCCTAACCTAGAAATCCCGAAGCCTACAACCCTAAGCCCTGTAAATCCTATAAAGCCTAAGCCTACTCCTATAAATACTCTACACATCCTATACAGTCTAAGCCTACTCCTATACATCTTGAAGCCAACCAGAACCTCTGAAACCCCTGAGACCGAATATTCAAGCCGAGATCTTGAGATGACGATAGGTTAAGCCCGTCCGCCTTGCAAATCTCGAAATTCCGCGGCTGAGGGAAACTTTTCGGATAGGGTTTAGGGTTTACCTGGACCCTAAGGAACCTATCGTTTCAGGGTTCCTTACTTTGATTTCCTTATAGAAGTCCTAAACAAGACAAGTTCCTCAGGGTCCAGGTAGGGTGAAGGGTTACCCTACACCCTAAACCCTTTTGCAACCAGGACTCTCGCAGCCAGCCGAAACCCTAAACCCTAAACCCTAAAACCCTAACCCCTAAACCCTAAACCCCTAAACCCTAAAACCTAAACCCCAAAGGTCGGCAAGAGTCTATCAGGGTTTCTTACAAGGCACACCCGAAGTGCAGGGCCCAAAGGGCCTCGGGAAGCCTTCCAAGTGGACAGCTTACCCGCCGGAATTCCGATTAGGGTTTAGGATTTAGGGTTTTAGGGTTTAGGATTTTAGGCCGGAATTCCGGTTTGTTTCTCCCTCCTGCATAGCAAGAACGAGCTCGCATGTGCAGGGTTATGAAATTCCGTTTAAGGTTTAGGGTTTAGGCTGTTTAGGATTTAGGGTTTTAAGGTTTAGGGTTTGGGAGCACGTCGAATCGAAAAACACTTGCTGACGAGTTGCCATCACGGACAGCTTGTTCTCCCCTGCTACATTCAGCAACTCCAAAGAAACAGCAACAAGCTTCTGTCCACCGATGTTAATTCGGAGCACGTCTTCGGGCAGACCCGGAGTGGGATATAGGCTATATAGACTCACATCGTTTCGCGAGCCAATGCAAAGTTCAAGGTTGTCGCCTGACGGCATCTCGTCCTCGGGGTCCAGGATCCTTGGCAACTCCGTCTCTTGGAATCCTGCGTCCAGGAGGGACTCATGCCCATAACCCCGTTCCTGAATTGCTGGCTTTCCGGCGCCAAGACAACTTGTTGAGCGTTATGGCATATAGTTGGTCCCTAAACCAAACTCTAAAGCGTGAAAGCTAAAATTTAATCACTCAGTGCTCAAGCTGCGAGGAGCTCAACGGCACGTATATCTGCCAGGCGCAGGTACCAGAGCTCAAACGAAAGCGATATCATCATCCGGATCAGAGGGGCTCTGTAAGGCTGCTCCACCAACATGCAGACTCGACGGTCACGCTGGCTGTCCCGGAACCGGCGTAACCAATCCACGAGTGGCATGAAGACCTGCACAAGGGTTTATGTGTTGGGAATAAAATACACAACTCATGCTAGAGGGAAATCCTTCTTTAAATATGTTTATCATGCATGCGTTCGGGATCTTCTTTCGGTGCCTCTGGGGAGTAGTCGACAAAGAGCTTCATGTCAGGCGCACTTTCGACATTCCATGGGCCCGGGTCACAGTATCCAGCCAGCAGTTTGCTGAGGCGGTTCTCCCCAGCTACACCGAACAAATCGGGAGAAACCGTAATAGTTTTCTGTCCCCCGATATCCACTTGCAGAATCTTTGTCCGAAGTTTGTCGGGGATAATGCTACCCTTGCCTCGGTCCATGCTGCAGGTAGGAAGGAAAGAAACAGGGGTCTGCTTTCTGGAGTCCCTTTTCGAACAGAAGGGAACAGAAACCACAAAAGTCAAAAATTAAGATCCCCCCATAGGATCAACCCCAAGGGTCTACGTACCCAACCAGCAAATACCGTGGCCTTAAAGTAATCCCTATATAGGTACGTTGCAGCCAACGTGTATACTGTTTGAGCACATGGACAATTCGGGTAGCCAAGTTGCAGTGTATTACGTGGTCCACTTGAAGGCTAGTGCTTGGCTGCGGAAGGTTGCAGGCACGCTGCCGCGCTTCAGCAAGAACCGGTGCTGGCAATTCTGAGTCCTCAAAACCAGCATCCAAGAGGTCCTCGTTTTAGGTGTTTGAGGTTTATGGTTTAGGGTTTGGAGATTTTTAAGAGCCAAGCTGTCACGGGTTTAAGGGTTTGGGGTTGGGGGGCTTCGGCTTTCGGTGCGCGAGGAGATAGATCCTCGTGAGAATACCCCCGGTCGAGGAGTTCTCCAGCTTTGATCCCTGCGAGACGAATGAAGTGCAGCCCATAGGATAGGAAAATCATCATTCGGATGAAAGGGGGACGGTAGCGGGGCTCCACCGCGACGTCGATCACCTCATCACGCTCACTGTCACGAAAGTGGCGAAGCCAGTTGAGGAGTGGCACGAAGACTTCTGGAGAGTAGTCCACGAAGACCTCCCAGTCGCTTTGAGCATCGTCACATCTTGCAAACGGATCGTCACATCTTGCAGTCATGTCAGAAAGCCGGTTTTTTCCGGCAACACAGAAAAGGTCCGGGGACACCACAACAACTTCTTCACCGCCAATGTCGAGCCTAATGCGCCTCGTGCCATGTTCGGCCATGCTGGAGCGGCGTGATTAAAGCAACGCGCCGTCACCATCCGACTGGGCTAAGGACGTTCATTGGATCCCAGAGATCTAACCTAGAGACTCCAAGTTTCCTAAGTAAACCATGTTGCTTCAATGATGAACCTACCGCTTCCGTGATAAACGGCTCCCTGAACAACGGATGCTCAGTCTGTGGCATTAATAAGGTCTGCGGTATCTTCAGGGTGCAGCAGGTTCTGCTTCTGCTGCACTACAGCACGGTACTGGCTGTGCTGGTATGCTTAACTCAGGTACGGATACGGCAGATTAGGCAGTCAGCAGTCATCTCAACCTAAAGACCTGTTGCATGTAGTGAGAGATAAAATAACTTCTGCAACCCTCAGCCCTCGAAACAAAGTGCAGGATACATTGACCATCAAAGCTCGAAAACACATAACCGATGCTCCCTCAAAGTCAATGTCAAATGTGTTTATTCTGATCCCTACCCGGGTGTCCGAAGCCTGAAAGCAGCAAGCGGCGGACTTGGTCAACGACGACAGGGATCCCAGATCAGAGATGCTAGGAAGGCAGGTCTTCAGTGATCCTTTATCCATCAACAGCTCCATGAAATACCTAGCCCTGCCAGCATTGGATGACACGCCAACATAGCCAACTAACCCAGACATAACTTCAGCTCACCTCAAATCAAACAACAAAGAGTCCTTTGCCCAAAACCCTCAGTCCACTCTGATGCCTTCACATCCCGGATGGAGGTGCTTTCGTGGCCCTCAAACACCAAGAGCTCACGGCCTACCCATGGTGGCTTCTTTACAGGGACCTCATAGGTCGATTAGTTGAGTGCTGTGAATCGGGAAGTTGTTTCGGGTTGCCATAGAGTTTTGGACGTTTTACATGGCCTTGGGGCTTCTTGAAACAAGTAGCAAACTGTTGAAAGGATTCTTTGTGTTTTCACGCTTTAGAGTTTAGGATTAGTTGAGAAGGTTGTTCGGGGCATCAGGGGTTTGTTAAAACGGGGCTTCCTTAACTGGCTGTCCTCATCATAAGAAACCTACTGCTATTCACCCGAAACCATACCTTTTGCCGTAGGCTTCTCTCGCCCGGAACTGCCGAATCCACACGTAAACCCTGAACTCGCTTATTATCCTTAGGCCCATAGGCAGTTGATGATATGAATCCCGCATGACCCATAATGAGGAAGATACCATAATTCCCATAGTCTAGGGTCGTTAGTAGGCAATGCAGGATTTAAATCATCTACAGCATTTCCTGAGAGCCAGGGCCTGGGGTTTTGGAGCCTGCACAGGTCAGGGTGTCAATAGGGGGGGTTCGGGTTCAAGCTTTCTGGGCTGGCTTGTGAATGGTATGATGGTGAGGGTTTCAGCATGCAGTCGGAGTAGTTGGGAATAGGCCCGCCTTACTAGTCTCTATGTGAAATTAAGCCTGCTCTCATTATTAGAAGCTCCGTAAAGGTTTCGGGGAGTTTTGAGCAAATAAGCACATTTCCGCACCTCCTTTGCTGGGACTTACAGTGCGCCGAGGGGTGTGCTTGAAGCCCTCACTCAGAGACTCCAATATCCCTGAATTAGGGAATATACCTTAAATCATATTAGGGATCCTACTACTATTTTAAGTTATATTCTTTAAAATTAAGGGATATTGGAGACTCTGCGTAGTTCGAAGCCCCTAAACCCGTGAAGAGGAGGGTCTTATGGTGTATACTATCGTATTTTAACATATTCAGGAGCCTTAGGGAATAATATTGGCAATGATTTAGCTTCTGTACTCAACCCCTCCACCCCTACAACCCTGAACCCGAAATACCCATGCCTCTCTAGGCGTTGAATTTGGGCTTAGGGTTCATGGCCAGTACTGCGCATAACGACAAGCCCAAAACCCTAAACCCCACTAACTGTAAAACGCCGAAACAAGACTTAAGTCAACCAGTTGCCAGGAAACAAACAGGATGCATGACCTCACAATCAGCCGGAAAACTGGTAAGCGCATTGCGCCGGAACTATCTTTCTTGCTTCTTGCCTTTCTCCTCGCCCATCCGGGAGAAGCTGAAGTAAAACTGCCGAAGACCGAGGACTCGGACTCTTTAAAGCTTTAGTGCTTATATTTCGGGTACTGTTGATGATATAAATCCTGCATGACCTTAAGGACCCGAAAATGTGTGGGAATTGTGGTATCTTCCTTAGTATGGGTAGTGCCTGATTTATATCATCAGCCGTAGGATTTAAGATTCGGGGTCAGCGAAGGGGCTCCATTGGGTTAGTGCCCGTGCGTTTGCTGGGAAATGCACGTTAGTAGCTAGTAGTTCCTATAAGAATATTTACGAAAATCAATTTCGTAAAACGGTACCAAAAGTTCTTTAAGGGGCTCAGAAACTATAACCTGTGCATGTATGTGACCGGGTGGTACGTAGGTTTGCAGTTACGTCCTACGTTCCCTGCAGCTTCAAGTGGGTAGTTCTCTAAATTAGGGACCCCTTTTAAAAAGGTCACAGATATAGTAAGGCACCCTTATAAACAGGACCCAAGAAGGGACCCTAGTTTAATTAGAGAACTACCCAAGTAGGTTGTTCGGGAGTCCGGGATCTTCATGACGCGAAAACAAATGTAACCATAGGCTCAATACGGTTGATGATATAAATCCTGCATTACCCAGAATAAGGAATATACCATAATTCCCATAGTTTAGGGTCCTTAAGGTAACGCAGGATTTTCATCATCCACCGTGGTAGTTCCTTTTTGGGGGGTACCTTATGGGATCCTAAATATAAGCCACAAGAAAGAACTACTATGAAGCCTATGGGTAGGGCCCTAGAGTCCCGCAACCCGTTTTGTTCACAAGGGACTCGGACTGCTGAAAACCCTGAGCCCGGAAACCCAGAATCCCTAAACCCGGAACCCTAACCTCTAAAACGTGCTACGCTTGAGCCTCTTTTGGTCCAGCAAGGCTCACAATTGCCAGGTCGGGCCACAATACTTAGAATTGGCTTTCGGGTGATATTGTGGCATAATAATTATGTAGAGTGAAAACTTCGGGGACATAAAAGTGCAGTGGCCTAGTCGCGGACTACGAAGGACACAACACAATTAGGTTTGAGGGTTGCTATAGCAACCACCTGTGAACCGACAAAAACAGGGGCGCTGAAGTGAAAACCCCAAACCCGTTTCGAAGTAACCGGCTGAGCCAAACCCGAGCACTAAGACCGAATTAATAAACTCCCCTGCCTCAAAAGGGAATACCATGGAGATTCAAGCCCTTAAAAGAAAGGGGATCATTAATCAGGATACCAAACCCACCAACCCTGCTTTAAACCACCATGGCCAACCTTGTTGTAAGCTCGTAATACAAACTTCAACGCGTAATATCAGGACAACATGGTGCTTATGGTAGTTGGAGATAGGTCCCCACAGCTACAAAAACATCTGTATGATGTAGACTCTATGTAGACTCCTGGCTTACTGCTACTGGTAACACCCGTCCTGTAACAGGCAACAAACTAGGAATCTGCTTCAGAGTCCTGAGATTACAGCCCTTGAGGCGAGGGGCTCACGAACCATGGGTCATTTTCCCCTAAAACCCATATAAGCCCACAAACCCATTCCCGTAACCCTCGCTAGCCCAAAGCATTAAATCCTGAACCGCGCAACCCTAAACTTATATACATCCTAACACCTGTAGCTCCAGACGCACTATACATCCTAAACCGTACAACCCCCGTAGACCCTGACACCACTACCCTAAAATAAACCCTAAACCCTAAACCCTGAATCCCTAACACCACTAAGGGGGTGCTGTTAGGGTTCCTTTAAATCCCTCGTTGAAGGCTTCCTTAAGGGACAAGAGGGAGGACCCCTAGAAGGGAGCCCTTATCCTATAATACCCTATATAACCCTTATATACCCCTTATATAGCGCTCATAAAGCCCCAATATAAGCCCAAGGCTCCCTTTTAAGGGTCTCTCCTTTAGTCCCTTGACTTCCTTTAAGGGCCCTAAACCCTAAACCCTAAACTTTTAAACCCGAAAACCCTAAACCCTAAACCCTCCTCAAAAGGACTACTGTAAGCTCCTCGGCCCCTCTCGGCTGTCTGCTCCCACCTAGAGACTCTAGCAGCCCCCAACTAAGAACTATGCCTTAGTGGTTCAAGGTTTAGGGGTTTAGGGTTTGGGGTTTAGGGTTTAGGGTTTAGGGGTTTAGGGTTTGGGGTTTAGGGTTGAAGATTAAAGGTGGAGCAACATTCAAACAACCCGCTTTGCAACTTAAGGTGTCTTCCATGGTCCAGGGGCTTTGGAGTCTCTGAGCACCTGGCTCTACCTGAAAATGCCTCGAAACAGCAGACAGGAGTTCTCAACTTTCGGTTTAGGGTTTAGGGTTTAGGGTTTAGGGGATAGTGTTTCGATTCCACGGGTTTGCTGAAGGTCTTATGGGTTCGCTCGGGCTTTCTCCTGGCTTTCCGGGGACTGAGTGGGTTCTTTGAGGGCTCAGGACTACTTCGGTAGGCCGCCCTGGATCGAACCAATTCTAACTCCAGGGGTGGTACGGACTCACAACCTTATCTACTACGTCTCTGAGTACACAAGTAGTTGTAATGACTTGATCCTAGCACGCATGACTGCAGGATGCAGGGTTTCGCATGGCTAGACCAAGCGGTTTACCGGACACGTTGCTCTATGCCGGAGCGTGCGACGAGACAGCCAACATTGCAGCTTCTGCTCGGCCCGGCTTCATGCTGAAGCAAATATTCCGTGTAGGCCTTTCTTTAGCCGTAGGCTCCATAGTAGTTCCTTTTGGGGGGTACCTTATAGGATCCTAAATGTTAACCACAAAAAGGAACTACTATGGAGCCTATGGGTAGCTTGA